GTCTCATAGTTTGCTTTGACTGCAGGTGTCCACAAAAAAGTCTTTTTCCTGTACTAGTTAATGGCAACGTCTACTAATAATACGATACCTATAACGGGGGTCACTATTTCAGTGTATGTTTACTGCAGTACTGCACTCCACCCCCATTCCCCCTGGTAACTCTTCATGTGATCCCTCTGTATCACTATGAACCTAGGTCAGTAGAATTAAGAAATTAGTTTGACTTCATATAAATAATAATCCATAGCAGTTTGACATTGTTTAAAACTTTGTTTATTTTGTCTATTATTTATAATTACATTAATTTTATCCATCATTTGGGTAAGAAATACAACTTTTACGAATTTCTGTATAATTATATTTACAAACATTTTAATATTGCATATATTATTAAATAAAATTATATCATAACAATAAGAACTTGTTCAATAAGAAATTAATTATATATTTAATTTATATATTATATATTAATTTAATTAATTAATTATATATTTAATGTAGGTATGTAGATACTTAATATTTAATAATTATTTTAATATGGAATACAAAATCTATATTTAAATAAATTCACAATTATTTGTTAAAAGAATATTCTTTATTAAAAATTAATTAATTCCCTATTTATAAAAAAATCGGTACAATTTTATGCCATTAACTTAGTACCGCTTATTAAATATAAGAATTGGTTTGTGTTTTGGTTGTAATGATAGGCCAAACCTCTCCTCCAGAGTCAACACCTCATCATTTGCTGCACTTATTGTGTATTTTTGCAGAAGTGATGCGAAATACAGGAATACCTCCACTCGTCCTAACGTTTCTCCGACACAATTGCGTTTACCTATCGGTCAATACATATACAGAATATTCTTTAATTATTTTAATAATTGAATAAATTCTTAACAAACCGTAAGAGAATGGTATCAAAGCCTCTATTTTAAGCAATTCTTTGCCATCACTTGTGAGGAATCGTTTCGGATTAAAGTCTTGCGGTTTATGCCATACTTTAGGATCGTTATGAACGGCCCATATATTGGCTAAAACTTGTGTGTCTTTAGGTATGAAATGACCCAAAACTGACGTGTCTTCTGTTGTCCTGTTATTGTTATCAATAATTTTTGTAATAACCAAATATAATATTATTTTATATATTAAGTGTAATTACCTTCTCATCAGATTTACAGGAATAGTAGTCTTATATCTCATCACTTCGTTAATGAACGCCTGAGTGAACGGCATATGAAGTCTGTCGGCATAACAGGGACTCCGATCTCTTCCGACCATTTACGGGAATAGTAGTCTTATATCTCATCACTTCGTTAATGAACGCCTGAGTGAACGGCATATGAAGTCTGTCGGCATAACAGGGACTCCGATCTCTTCCGACCACAGAATCGATCTCTGAGTGAATCCTCTTCTGGTGTTCGCTGTATTTGGCGGACAATAATAGCAACCATTCAGTGGTCGTCCTCACCGTTTCACTGCCGGCCCCGAAGAATGCTCTGGCGTTTGCATCCAATGCCTTCACTGAAATACAATTAAAAACTTAATTAAAAAACACTTTAATCAATGTCTGTATGTCTGGACTGACGGTTGAAGTGAGTGTTGGGATCCTTTCGTTGTCTCACTTCCATCTCCGCTAAGTATCCGTCGATATAATCCCTCTTATTATTGGTGTCCAAAGACTTCCGGTGCGAAGAGATCTCCGATCTATTCATTCAAAAGCATATTAATTATAAATCTATGATCTATATGTCATACTATAATGCTATAATACTGTATATACTATATAGCTTAGACGCCCAGATATGGTTTCCAGAGACCAACTGGTGATGTATGCATTTACTATTTATTACTATTTAAGCTGAGTATATACAACACTAGTATTCTAAAGTTTATAGAATACATTATTGATTAAAGTAGCATTTAGTTAAATACTCATGAATATTAGTATATTAATCAAATAAAAATGACTTAAAATTGAGTAAACTTATATTATAATAAAATGCTTTGTCATTCAATTACTGTTTCTGTTTATACATTAAATACAAATCTATTTAAATAATCATT